TTTGCCAGCTATGCGGGAAGGTGCTCCCGTATTCTTTTGGAATGGCGCCGACTCGTACGACCACTATAACCTGCTCCACGCGAGCAAGTGAATGGGTAGATGCACACTGAGGCGGTCTGAGGTGACAGCCTATTCTTGCCTTCTCCGCGTAAAATAGGGTAGAGAATGATATGCGAACCCTTGCTGCTGGGTAGGTTCCCGAGACAGCTTGGTCAAGTTGTCTTCTTAGGAGTTCACTTGCGGCGTCTCCTTGGAAGGGAGCTTTGAGGAACAACTTTTTCATTTCGGCGGTCAGTGTGGTGGGTTTTACGGGTCGTTCGGCAAGGTTCTTTTCAATAACCTGTCAGTGTACCCGTTTTCGCGAAGCACGTCCTGGATTTTTCTATGTTCCTCCTGACAGCGTTTTTAAAGGAAATTTTCGATATTTGCTGCCCTTTTGATACTGTTATGGTACGACCGGATAGAATTTCTTCCCCCTATCTGAAATCGTTAAGACGTAAAAAAGAACTCCTTTACAAGCTAGGCTTACGTGATAACCTTAAGGACGTTACCGTCTTAATAAAAACAGAGATTGACAGGCTAAATAGCCTGTTTGTCAGCCAACTTTTTTCCTCTTCTTACTCCCCCCCTTTCCCCCTTCCTCAGCTGAGATTTCGAAAAATCTTAAGCGTCTCACTGGTCATCGCAACACGCTGGTCTCTAAAGGATGGCCTAAACCATGTCCTAGCGTGGTCGGAGGAAAATGGTCTCCTAATTAACAACCAAAAATCCGTTCAGTGTATTTTTCGACTGCGGCCCTCTCCTAACCCTGATTCCTCTGACATTCTTCCTAATGAGGTATCCTCTTTCAGGTATCTCGGCGTTACTTTGTCCTCAAATCTTTCTTTTTCCCTCCATATTGAGTCCCTATTTATTAAAGTTCGTAAACTCCTTTACTACATTCGTCGTTTGCGTTCCTACTACACACCTCAACCCTTAGTCTGGCGATTCATTGATGCCTGCATTCTTCCTCTTATCCTATACTGTTCTCCTGTCGTTTTTCCTGCTTTGTTAAAAAATGATCTTTTAATTTTGAAACGAATCCTCCGCATGCTCTCTTCTGCTGCTGGCGTTTCTTATATTTTTTTAGTTGACACAATCTTACAACGACACTTCAATGCGGTCAAGCAATTTGCTGGTCGAATTCTAGATGACGTTGCCCATCCCCTACATTCCGATCTTATGGCTGCCAAGTCTTCCCGCCCGATGCGCCGCAACTTCCGCCTTATACCCTGTCGCACATCGGCTTATCGAGCCTCTGTATTACCATTCCTAGCGCGCTATCTTACGTGCGAAGAGACAGAAATACAGAAGCTCAGACTTGAACTATCCCCATAATAATCGTTTCTTTGACTGTTGAATAATCTCTTAACTTATTTACTACCCACAATGAATGGAGCCAATTTTTTGCTGAAAACTTTGAACTTACGATTTCAAAATAAAGCGCATTTCCTCCTCCTCCTCTTGATACTATCTGTTGAACAAATTTTTATGTTTTCTATGGAAAAAGGGGGCTCAAATTTAGCCACTCAGTTATGTCAAATTCTGAGAGTAAAAGTACCCACTAAGTTACTTTCCGAATCTAGTTTTAGGTGTAAGGGGACTTGCCTGCTTCGGTTGACAGGATAAATTACGTTCTGTTTCAATCAAATATCTCAGAGGAACCGAAGGACTGGTGACTACGCATAGAGATCTTACACGACCTTACATTCTCGAACTATCCAGTGTGCAAATGAAATGAAGAATCAACAGATATAAAGAGATGTTGGACGTATTTACAAAAATATGCTAGATATATGATTTCGTTAGTGAATAAGCATCGGTTTCTGTAGTCCAGGGCAATAAAGTATATGAAGGGACTTGTTTCTGAAGATGCTATCACTGGAACAAGAAATTTATTTGCCTGACGTTTCGGATTTTTACTCGAATCCATCATCAGAGGCATTCGCAGATAAAGGTGGTGGCACCAGGAGTGCAGTATTTATAGCACGTGGCTGCCGTGGGACCGTATGCGCACTGCAATTAACAGTTCTCGCAATCACCGCTGGGGTCGTAATTGATGCGGTGGTGGCTTGGCGGTCCGAGTCCGAGTCGTTAATTGCCGCGATTTCGTCACCCGTGCTGGATGCTGGTGGGACGATTACTCGGCAAACTGGCTCACTGTCACCGTGATAATTGCTCGCCCGCGCCCTCCCCAAGTGACTGATTCTCCTGCCCAGGGAAAATCGCAGTACGGAATAGAGTACCGGGAAGGGGTTGTGCTTGTTGATGGATTGCGGGCCTGAGAGCCATGACTCGAGCAGCTCGCAGCTCACGCGGTTGTCACCCCTTGCTACCTGGAACTCGCCTGTTCGCTTCTATCAGCAGACTCGTTTCTCCCTGTACAGGTGCGCTAATGGTGATATAAATAGGCACCTCATGAAGAAGAACAATAATTCAAGGAAAAATATGAAAACCCGAAGGTAAAAGGCAAGATGGACACGTGAAATTTAATAAATAAACCAGTGAGGCCTCAGTAAATTATCCGACATTTTGTCGCATATCGCACCGAAGTTTTGGCTTGATGTACAGCCAATGACCAATCTCGTGAATTGTTAACGAAAATTCCGGAATGCAGGCTTGTTTATGAGGAACTACATTAGTAGGATTGAAATACTGGTCATCATGAAGCATAATACCAAAATGTTTCAGCCACGCAAGAGTACCGGCTTTTAAGCCTACCTCGTTCCGGTCTTCCTCAAAATCTCACTCGCTAAAATGACTCCTTACATAGCATGAAGTATTCCACCGATCTTCAACGCGCTTACACATCCAAAGACTTATGCAGAAGTGTGCTCAAAATATATTTGGTTATGCAAGCGGCACTCACCGATCGTTCTTGCGGAACTCACTCGTTCCGTTGTGCCTTACGGACTCTCTCTCTGGAGCCCAACCGGCAGCCGCACAGCGGCGCATGATATCGGCAGTTTGGCTCGAGTGAGAGCCCGTAAGGCATACGGAACGAGTGAGTTCCGTAAGAACGATCGGTGAGCGCCAACCTACCATTCCATATTCCCGATCGAAAACGGACGAGGTAACGGGCTCGTTGCCTAGTGGTTAGAGGCGTGGACTTCTAACTAACTGGTCACGAGTTCGAGCCTCTGGTGTTCCACTCTTCGGGGTTGGGTATGACTGGCTGACGACGGCTAATAGGCCAAAAATGGCCATTCCAGTCTCCCTTGTCTTTGTCAGTAATACCATTCTGCCGATATTTTGTCATGCTTATTTGACGGTAGATTATGTTTTTAAGATTTTTTACTTAAAGAAAGAATATTAGATGACTTAAAAATTTTTAATCATGAAATTGTTCAGACTGTAGAATGCCAATTGCAACAACATTGCATTTGTCATTTTAGTAATGCCCATTATGAAGCACATAGCATAATCTCCATCCATCGATGCTTAAGTGTATGTCTATTTATACCGCATTTAAACTGCAAAAGGAACCCTGAAACAGCTTTCTATCAAAAATGGCTTTCAGTTTCTGAATCCGATTAACATTCGTCAAGTAAAATAGAGACTACCTGTACACACATTAACCCCTCCATTTCATAGAAAGATTTGACAACTTTCTTGCTCCACCAGGTTTTCCTCCAGGGCCATTTGACTTTCGACTCAAATGGATAACGATACCAACTGAATTTTATCGAAAGCATTGGGAAGAGTTCGGCCTTAGTAAGAAGTGGAGGATGCATTGTGCGCAACGATGCAGACCACCAGTGTTGGTGAAATCATTTTTATTTTGCATTTCGAATTTCATTCGCAAATTGCATTTTGAATTGACCACGGAACATAACCATTGCGAATATTTCATCCTCGAAAATGTCTTTCCACTCAAAAACCCTTTTATTGTAATGCTGCCCTGAGTTCATTTTGAGAGAAACTCGTGGTTGGCCGCGGTCGTCTAAGTCTCCTAATTCTTCCGAAGAAAACATGAATTTACTATTTAGTGTAGGCGATGTCAAAGCGCTTATCGAATTCTCTTTTTACTAGACTGTTATATATGTGTGGGAAATAACATCCAGCATTTGATTTGACTTCACTTCAAACCCCAAGTGTACGTACATGCGCCAACTGCTGATTGCACTTTAGAATGCAATGCCAGTTTCCTAAATTGGTCATGCCGAGAACCGGAGACGTGGTCTGGAGTTTCCCAGTGGCAAATAAAATAGCACCCTCTACAACTATTTTGATCTCACTTCAAAAGTTCGCCGATGTTGTTTCCTCCAAAACTGAAAATTCCTAATTAGTAGTAAGTGTTTCGCTACTTCGTAAATCCGTCAAGCATTGGCGTGATTCATCCCGCATTACCGCATGTACCGTATTTCAGTTACTTGATTCGTTTCGTTGAACCACATCAGAGGGTTTGTGCAGTTCTCTGTCAGACGAGGAATACGGTTTTAAGCCTTGTTTTAAAAGTCGTATCTACACCTGACCCTGCGCCGTGCGTGCAAATGGAAGGCATCTGAAGGTCGATCGTACTGTCTCGCGCATCGTGATTGGCCGTCTCAGGACATCTCATGCACCAGAAGCGTGACATTTAGACGCGGATTGAAAACAGAACTGATTTGTTTTCGATGTTAATCAGGGTGAAGTTAGTAGCAATAAGCTCGATAATTATGCAGGCAGAAAAAGTCTACCGTCCCATGACCTTACATGAGACCTACTGCTCGCCTACGAGCGTCACATTACAGGGCCACGAAAGTTGCATTCATTGGTCGTTCATCGATACCTGCCGCTTTTTGATCTCCAACCCTAGGGCTTTGTAAATGTTCTCGAAGGCCACCTTTTCGCCCCTGATTGGCTGACAAGCTTCAACGCAAGATATTGGTGAACTAGCAGTATAAAATGTGCCCGATCTCCTATATTTTTCATATCCTTTCATCCGACTGTGTTTGCACATCTTGGGATTATCTTCGTAAATGGTCGAGTAAGTCTACTAGAAAATTCTTAGTTTCTGCCTATTTAGTAAGAATGTGGCAAGAGAAATATTCTCTCTCCTGGACAATGACGGATCCGGATTAGTCAAAGCGTCCGACCTCCTGGAGGCGTTTAATGGGACTGGTCTCGACGTGGCCGAGGTTTTCCCGTTGATCACAAAACACGATCTCAATGGAGACGGTACTCTAAGCCTAAAAGAGCTGGAAAGCATGCTTCAAGAGGTCCACCGGAAAACCAGCAGAGTCACTGTCTGATTATCCAGTTTCCAAAAGCACCCAATCTTACGGCATTTATCATCATGATCTATAACTTTTCGATCATGGTTTTATTTTTGCAACCTGTCAGATTTGTCTTCGGAGCAAGGTTCAATTTCTCCAAATCTGAGAGCATGTGTCTGAATGTACAAATGAATATTTAAAGAGAAATCTTCAAACTGTAAAAGATTTTCTGTTTGCAACATTATCGACCCCATTGAGGGCGTCATTAAGGCAAATGTCGGGTTGCGTGACCGCGTTTGGCGACTACGTGTACTTATGAATGGCTAATCGGGTGCTGGTTATACCTTGTCCTAAATTAGGGTCACAAGGTATGGTTTTTAACACTGCGCTCCAGGCAAGGTGAAGAACGGCTCTGAGCTTGGTTGGGCCAGTCGAAGAACTGATTAAAAACCTTCTCGAATTGACTGGCCCTTCGCGTAACTTAACCTGCCTTCCGGTGGAATTTCGGGGTTTCAGAAGTTTGCTCAAGTTTGGGGGTTAGAAAAGTGCTCAAAATGGTTTTGACCTATACTCCTTATTCGCTCAGGGCTCCAAATGTGGTTTCCAGTGATATTTCATAAGTATGTCGCACAAGGAAACGCGAAAGTGCCTTCAAACAACAGTTCACGTGTTTTGATTTTTCACACTTAGAATATAGGAGGGGCGGACTGGACCTGCCTGACGAAGGATGCTGGCAGCGCTATTCCTTGGACATTTACCAACATTTAAATCGTTTCTGGCGCCAAAAGTTCGCTCTACCAAACTTAAAAACTGTCAACACAGTTGTTGGGACAGCTCATGTGTACCTGAAAGCATCTTTTACCACCCTGCTTCGTGTCTACTTCCTTCTTGAAAGTTGCGAGAATGAATTTTTAGATCATTTTATTCGTCTATATCTATTGGGGGACTCTCACGAAAAGAGTAGGATTTCTTGGATGGCTACATACAGGTGGACATATTTTATGTAACCGTCGACTAACCCCTTTATATTTACGAAGTATTTCTTCGAAGAAAATTAACCATTCTGCCTTAGTTCTAATGCTGGACCACAGATAAGTTTTAAAATCGTAAGTGCGAACGGTTTACAATCAAACTCACCTAATCAACGTAATTCAACTTGCTGTTTTCTAAAAAGGGTTTTCGAAATCCATAAAGTGTGTGCCGTACAGATAGAAAATGTCTCACTTTAATAAAATTACACCATTTCTTCTAAAAGTCAGACGTGCCTGACGGCTGACAGACTATTTTCGCAAAATGTTCCTAGAACAAATCCCCTTTAAAAATTTGATTTGAACGGTGTATTAGTTTTATACTGAATGAGTGCCAATTTTTCGGGTGTTTTACTTTAGTGGTGAATCAATTTTTTAAGTGAATGAACAGGAGTGTTTTGCTGGCAACAGTTCTGAAAACGTTACCTTTAGTCAAAGCGTGCTTCAGTCCACGCATTCTTGTCTGAGTGGATCCCACCACGCAAACAGCGTCAGTTGGTTTGAAACTCATCTCCGACGCAAAACATTCCTGCGGTTAGCGCGCACCTGGTAAACCAGCCTGAAGCACGTGCTTGGCACCTACGCTCTGACCCATGTCAATCCAGTGCACAAGATGAGTTGTTGCTACGGTCGGCTTCTCAGTGATTCGGTCTCCCAGAGCAGGCTTGGATTAACCGAGGCCTACCAACAACACCAAACGACCTTGACCCAGTTGTATTAGTTCTCCGGCTTTTCTGCCTCGGTTGCCTGCAGAAGGTGAAAGGGCGCATAAAAAGATTTGAATTTCAGCATATTTTTGCTTGTCTTCAAGCTGGTCCATGAAGTTAGGATTTTTACCTTTCAAACTGCATGGAGGCATTTCCAGAACTAATATGCTGTCCCGCGCTTTTTGCTGGTTGACTCTCTGCAGATGATCTGCAGTCCGTTCAATCTCAGGAAATGTTGACCTAACTTCTGAAATGGATTTTCAGTTAGGAAGGATTACTTAAGTGAGGTTGTAATAATGATTATCTTGCAGCATAATCTAAGGAGGTTTTAGCTTTTAAATTTGTCTCACCTTTGCCGTTCACAAAAGCCACACATTGTGAAGTATGACTGCTCAGGCAGTATGCCCTTTTCGTTTATGTCAAATGTTCCTGTAAATTAGAATATATTTTAGATACAAATGCTTCTTTATACCCTTCTTTGTACACTTTTTATAGTCAATCGTGTGCTATTTAAATTTTTCACTTCCGGCTTTGGAACATTTTTTAAACCTTGTAGTAATTTTCAGTCTAGCCTGCTGACACATTCGTTTCTAGAAGTTAGAGTCTAAACGCTGTATATCATTCATGTAGGAAAGATCACATGCAGTCGAACCCCGGTATTCGCGTGAACAAGGGACCACAACCACTCGTTAATAGCTGACATCCACGAATAATTGAGACCCCAATAGAAACGCTTTTACTATAGACTTTAATGTTTATACATCAAATATATTTCTAAGTATTATTCTAAAACGCTTTAGTGTTATTTCAAAGCCATCATATAGCATTGCCTTTAAAATACACGGCTTACAGTTTAAAACTGCAACTGTCACTATTACTAAGCGAAACCTGATCGATTTACCACTAAAGTTTAGCACACATACCTTCGTTCATGCAGTAGTCAAACTTCACCGTTTATCTACAATTTAAGCAGTATATAGGATTAACATTTTTAAGTTACAGTTAAAGGAAATAGTTAAAATATACGAACAAAAATTAGAAAATGCCTTAAGTATGTCCTATGGGAATAACGAAATCCGCAATTATTGGGCGAGAGTCAACGGGGCTGCGCTGCATTCCTCTATTAACTTAAGAAGATTTCATATAAGGTCGTAAAGTCTAGCAATAAATATTTTTTTCACAGAAAGCGTTGTTAAACAGAAAGTTGGGGTTCCATTTGGATGGAAGTAGCGTGGTCTTCCAAAACCCTACAAATGGAAACAATTTTTATGCCAAGAGATGCATTTCTTCTAGTATAATATCTAAAGAAGGCATGACTGCCTACCGAATAAGTACAAGAAAGAATATTTTGACAAGCTGACTATACAAAGTCTGAAACTACAAGGGCATCGAGAGCAAATGGAACAAATCGCATTGCTTACGTAGTCATTTTAACGAGTTGGACTTCTGTAGACGGCTGAAAATTAATACATTCCAGACCGAAACGTCGCATTTAACGCCAAAAAAAGTTTATAAGAGAAATATTAAAAGTTGCATGGTGTTGTTTAAGCACAGCAATATTGATTATAAGAACGGAAATACCAGAAACGTCAAAGATCGCTGTTACCGAGCAAACTTACGTCTTGGATGTGCAGAAAGCCTGTCAACATAGATAACTCGGTAAATAAAACAGGGCAGAGACAATAGGATTTGAAAATAGTCCGTTGGTGAAGTTTGCACTTGAATATCATGTTGGAATTAGTGTAATGCAGCGAATGGGCAATGGTATATAGCCTATAGTTTTAGTTTAAATTCTTAAATGGTATCATGAGAAATTACTTCATTTTTCTGACAGGCACCTATAAGCACTAAAAGTTTTCATAAGCTCACATATTGATAGGTCGGCCAGGGATTAGTAAATGTGAGTAGAAATGGCAAATTTAATTATAAATAGACCGTTTTGTGTATATTAATTGGACTTTTCTTCCGTCAAATTTCCTAAGAGCCTTTTCTTTGCTTAAAGTAAAGTGAGTTTTAGATCGCCATTGAAATATCAGCAAATATTTCCCAAACCTCAGTGTTCTCGGTGAATTGTCCATAGAGATAGATTCTGTTTTATGTGTTAATTGAGAATTCAGAAGAAGATGTATCTAGAATACATTTGACGAATTAGTGAGTATTTAGGCGTAATTCTTAGTGTAGGTGATTGTTCGGATTTCAACTGTAGATTCATTCAAACAAGAAACCTCGTCGCCGAAAAAATGAACGTCCACAACAAAATTTGGCAATGTATAAGCTTTAGATCAATTAAAAAGCTTTTTCTTATATTTTATTTCTTTAGAAAGTCCTTTAACGTGGTGGTTTTATGACAAATGTCCATGTACTTTACATTTTCTAAAGTAAAGGCAATGTTAAAGCTGAAACGTTGTGCAACTTTTTACTTCCCTGAGACAAACTGCTAAGTCTTCTTTGGAAAACGAAAATGCGCTCTTTTCGCCTTTCACTGGGGCCATTTTTGCCATATTTGCTTGTGATAACGTTCCGATCTATAGTTAAAAATGCACGGTAGGGTGGTTATATGAATATAAAGATACTGCGAAAACTGCCAGTCTTCTGCCCATCTCGTTTCTAAATCAAGGATCGGTGGAAAATTGACAGTACAACTTGTCTTGTCATGATTAAAATTGACACGACCGCGTGATAGAGGGCTTGTTGGTGTAAGCTACTAAATAATCGCAAAGAATAAAAATATGCCTGAACTTTTAAAAGATAACCCGTAGGTGTTGTAAATGGATTGTAAAACAAAATGCTGCGAATCCGATTGTTTAAAATTTATTTAGTATCTGCTTTTTAATAGTAATCAGGTTTACACCGTGCTCTATCTTATCTACAGTAGGTGTGTTAACTCATGAAATGTCAACCGAAATTCCAAAATGCGTTTTCGTTTCGAAAAGAATAGTTAAGTAGTGTTGTAAAACTAGTCAGCCGTCAACACAATTCTATAATATTTCAGTTACTGCAGAATGCCAACTTTCAAATGAACTTCATTTCGGCTGCATGCAAACAAAATATGTAAAAAATAACCATTTGCTTAGCGTTAGACTTTCTCATTGATTTTCGATGCCCCTAAGTGCCCAATTATAGTTCAAGGAAAAAATGCATATAAATATGCATTATTTTGCTCCTTGTGTAGAAAATTACGTCTTCTTCTAATTTTGTACTCAAAGGAGGGATATAATTCGGTTTTAAAAACATTTTTCAATTCCCGAATAATTTTAAACCCGACCTGCCATTACACTTGCATTCAGCGTTTCCAAATTAC